TTATTTATTTCCAAATATTACAGGGGTGCAAATGATTTGGTTACATAAATTGCTTTTGTACCACGCCCATCCCCCAGGTAGCACGCATTGTACACATTAGGTGTGATTTTACCCATCCCTCCTGCCCCTTCCCTCCTGCTTGATTTCCAATGAATGTTATTTCCATGTGTGCACATAAATATTGAATTTTTTAATAAATTATTCAATCAGAATAGTATTTTATTATGTTTGCAAATAGAGGCAAATTAGGCTAAACATTTTTTAAAAAGAATTTCTATGTTTTTAATATAAAATTTGTTTAAGAGCTTATATCAAATTTGTCAATAAGAAACCTGTTCTAAAATATCTGGTATTTAAGGACTGAAAAGGCCTCCTAATTCCTTTCTGCTCTACTATGGTAAGTCTAAAAGGTCTATAAAGTCTGGGAGCGATAAGACAGGTTAGGAACCCAACCTATCTATGTCAGTAATAAAGCTTTTGTCTAGTAAACATTTTCAATGTGACAGAGATAAAGAAACATAAAAAGTCTAGAAATAAATGTGGAGAAACTCTGGGAAAAATGAAATTTTGTCCTTGCAAGGGATACTTCACTTTCTTTACCAAACTTTTGATTACCATTCAGTTTGTCAAAATTTTATTTGTGGCACAGGAACAATTAATTATAGCCTGGGAGACTGATTTGCTGAGGATTGGGTTCTGTCATGAATTTGTATTTATTTTTTCCACGTGGGTTTCTTGTAGGTACATGAGCACCACTGCATGATAAATTATTTGTCACTTTTTCTAGTTTTCTGAAAACTTCTAGAGGTTTGATTTCCCCAGAAGATGTGAAAGAACAACACATATCTGAACTTAGGGTGGGCAAAGGTTGGTGTGGGAAAATCCAGAGTACTAGTTTGGGAATCAAAAGACTTAGATTCCAGTGAAAATTCTGAGAGTAATTATCCTGAGAATGAATAAATTAACTTCTCATCATCTCATTTACTTAATCTGTAAAAGAGGAGGTTGAATTTGGCAATTCCTGATCCTCTTATAGTTAAAATAATTGCAATAATTCCAGATGTAGATCTTCCAAAATATATGCCATTAATCAATGTGAAATTAAATTTCTAAAAAGTTGTAAAAACTGACAAATATTCAAAACTAGCATCTAAAGTTATAGGAAAAATATCCTGACTATGAAACTACTTAAGGTTTGAAAACACTTTGGCTGATGTGTAGTTTATCTGAACAATGTACTCAAATATTCTAATTTATCATAATTTGCAGGGTGACAAGAGTGAAATTTTATGGGTTTCTATTTTATTAGAATTGTGTTTTGGAGTCATGTAGTTGATAGTGATTTATTTATTTTCATCTTTTTAAATTATAGGGTGGCTTCACTCGTAAATATTCGCTTAGCTCAAAGACTGGAACACTTCTTCCAGAATTCCCCAGCGCTCAACACCTTGTGTACCAAGGATGCATTTCTAAGGACAAGGTATCAATTAAAGATACTTCTCTATTGATTTTGTGATAGGTTGGTTCCATATCTCAATTTTCTGGGAATCTCATGGCACTGCAGGAAGCAGTCAGAAGTCTGCATAATCAAACATAATTGACTGATTTATAGGAGAGACAAACGCTTACTAACATTGATTAAACACTTTCCAATTAATTATTTACCATCTCCATGATAGCATGTATCAGAAGGTGATAAAATAAACCTTAAAAGACTAAAGATTATTTTTTATTTAAAACTCTGTTGAGAAAGAAAACTCTAGAATGTGTCTATCATGTGCAGTATCTTCAATTAAAAGTTTTATGTTTTGAATTAGCTTTATTTTATTTCAGTAAATAGTCATCAAATATTTCTCTAGGACGAAATATGCTCCTAGCACTGAGGGGGAAAATAAGTAGATGAATACAAGGACTACATTAGATGATCATGAAGTTTCCTTTTGATTCTAAAATTCTATGCTCACTTACATTTGCAATTTTTTAAAGTTAAGAAATATTTTCATTGGATTCAGCTTAGAAATAATCCTCAATATGATTTTTCAATGCTTATGTAATAAAATTTGAGGCTAAAGTCTCCTCTATTTCTTACTTCTAGAGTCATTTGCTGGGGATTTATTGGCTATTGTATAGCAGGAGCCATTATTAAATAAAAACTTAATGATTTCTATGTTTTCCTTTCAACTAAAGTTTATTTTTTCATTAGCATTTGAGGAACATACCTTTCATAGTATATTGAGTCAGTTTATATTTTTGAGGCAAAGAAAGGAATATGATCAACTAATGTGCAGCTGTATTACTTTAGTAACGGACTTTTTGTAGAAACAGAAAATAAAAATAACACATTGATTTAAAAAAAGGTTATTGGTAGATAAGTAGAGATGCACAGTAACTCACAAGGTTAATTTTGATGACAGTCATACTCTGCCAGTTAGGAACAGGCAAAATATTGCAGATAATTCTCAGGTGCCAAATCCAAGGGAGTTTCCTGAAGTATATCCACTTCCTGCTATTCTCTTTTTTCACTGCATTTCTCAAAATTACCACATTTTTTTAATCTTGTAGATATAATGTGTGATATTATGACTTCGTATTTTGGAAATTGCCAGTAAACGTTAACATGCGGTAGTTTGTGGGGAAGCCTGTGGAAATCAAGGGGATCTCAGTTCTTTGGGAAAGGGTAATATTGAGTAGCTTTTGTGGAGAGGATTGCTTACATGGAAACTTATCATGAAGATGTTTACCATGTAAATATACCTGGCCAGAGTGAGAGAGAGAGAGGGACAGGGAGGTTGAGCAACAAAGGAAAAAAGAGAGGTGAGGATCAGGCTTCAGTAGTTTATTTCAGTTTCTTTGCTGGCCTTCAAGGAATTTCTTCCCTACCAACTTGAAAGACTCGTCTGTAGATCATTTCTCACTCAGGTATCAAGGTGCTTATATAACCCTTGGTTTCTAAGTTCATTCCCAGTGGACTCCATCATGAGCACCAGGGACTGACACTCTTCTTTGTCCCTTGAGGACAGCTTAGCCCTTTCACCTTTTTAGCTAGTAGCCAAGTTTCCTAGGTAACTTGTCAGTTCCTAGAAAGAGGGGTAGGGCTGAAGCCAAGCACTTGAAGCACCTGCTTCTTTAAGGCAGAAAGAACGGACACTGCCCAGTGAGAAGCTGACCTCAGTGAGAGATGTTGGCTGAAGCAGGGGGTGGGGGCCCTGCTTCATGACTCATCATACTGTCACTCAGGGCAGTTGCCACCCCCACCACATGCTGACTGCCTTTAATGGAGCTAAGCCTTGTCTCTGCTCCTGCTGTCTCTAACATGATGGCTATTCTCAGAAAAATCAGTAAAATTATGTTTATAAAGAATGCAAAGTACACTACAATTAAAATTTATTATCCTAAGACTATGTAAGTATTAAATAAATAAATGAAGCACTAATAGTAAGATTAAAAAATGTGGATGATTTATGTATAAAACAAATTTCAACACAAATAAATAGAAATACTTGTGAAGATAAAATCTTACTTGTCATTTAGTAAATTTCGGAGCTCAAAGGATTAATTAAATTTTTTTTTATTGAGACATAATAGATGTACATATTTTGGGGGTACATGTGATAATTTAATATAATCATATAATCTGTAAAGATCAAACCATGTAATTGGGATATCCATCACCTTAAATATTTGTCTTTTCTTTATACTAGAAATGTTTGAATTATTCCCTTCTAGCTATTTTGAATATACAGTAAATTATTGTAAACTATTATCACCCTACTGATTGATCTATCAAACACTAGTCTTACTTCTTCAATCCAATTGTATATTTGTACACATTAATGAACCCCTCACCCCTACCCCTCCCAGCTTCTGGTAACCAATCTACTCTCTACCTTCATGAGATCCACTTTTTTATCTCCCACATGTGAGTGATAATATGTGATATTTGTATTTCTGTGCTTGGCTTATTTTACTTTACCTCCAGTTCCACCCATGTTACTGCAAATGACAGGATTTCATTCTTTTTATGACTGGAAAATATTCCATTGTGTATATATACCACATTTTCTTTGTCCATTCATCCACTGATGGGCACTTAGGTTGATTCCATAATTTTGGCTATTGTGAATAGCACTGCAGTAAACATGGGAGTGCAGATACCTCCTTGATGTATTATCTTCTTTTCTTTTGGATATATAAACAAAGGTTAATTTTTGACAATAGTTATGACTTCCTTTCCATCTTTCAAGTAGTTTTCATTCTCATTTCAAAAGTGTGACTTGCAATCCATCCAAAAACATAATAGCATTGCCTGAAGTATAGAGCAAGTCTCATTTGCATTAATGGTGTCCTGTCCTGCTAGAGGTGTCCCGTAGTCAGCATGCCTCCAAGGAAATAGAGTGGTAATCTGCATGTTATCATTGTTCAGCTGTAAGCAGGACCACAAAGATGGGTGCTCTCCCTGGGCTTCAGGAATAAAGGGTGGAATGCAAAGGGTTAGGATAGGACACCTGCATCACCACCACCACCCTCAATGCCATGGGATCAAAATAGCTGACAATTTTTTAACACGTACTACACTTTATGTTTGTTTACTGCACAAACAACTTATATAGTTACTGTTATCATGTCAATTTTATGGAAGAGGAAATTAAAGCATATAAATATTAAATAGCTTATTCAATGTCACATAATAGTAAGTGGCAGATGAAAGCTGAGATTCAAATCCAGGTAATCTAGGGGAAAACTCATACCTTTAATGTAAACTGAGCTCCTCTTCACATACAGCAAACAACCAGCAACAGGTAGGGACATTTCTAGCACATAAAATAAAGGTTTTAATTTGAATATTGTTAAGTTGCTGGAATACTACCTAGTTCAAATCCATTGCAAATTTTAGAATATATTTAAAACTTCTTAAACTATGCAATACAAATATCCATATTTACTTGGAAATAGAGACTCTTCATAATAGACACTCAATGAGTATTTTTTGGTAAATGCATCATTTGATATTATTACTAATTCCAGATAATATTTGGTAAGGTCTTATTGTGTGCCAGATACTGTTCCATGTATAGCACATCTTATTTTATCTGATTTTCTTAACACCATATGGGTAATATATTATTACTACCTACTTAAAGATAAAAGCTTGGAGCTCAGAGACAAAGCAACATGTAGGTCACACCTGCTAAGTAGTGCAGTGGAGCTGGGCACTTCAGAATGACTTCAGAACCAAAACTCGAAACTACTGCACCGCACCACTCCAAGTATCCACTTAATAAAACTGTGTAAAGAATTGATGTATCTTATCATTTTATGTTTATTTCCCCAAAGGTAATTTTCTTATTAGGCATAAAATTAGGATGTTGTTTTAATCCACAACTCCCTGCACGATTATCTTTTTCTTTGTTCTTATCATACTACACTGCAATCTTCAATTGACTTGTGTTTCTCTCTTCACAAGGCAGTAATCTCGAAATAAGGATTTATTTTTGAGCCTTCAGCATTGAACATACTGTCTGGTACATAATGGGAGCTTTGAAAATGTGTGTTGAATGAATGAACAAATAAAAAGGCTGCTTTGGTTAAGCTTTCTCTTCCTTGAAATAGGTTGATACTCTCATAATGATGTACAAAACTCACTGCCAGTGCATCCTGGACAACGCAATTAATGGGAACTTTGAAGAGGTAAGGGTGACACAGAACGCTTTGTTGAGCATAATACATATACTTTCAAGTCCTGTTCTTAATGAGTTCATGTTAAGGGAAAATCTTAACGTACATACTCTTTGCTCTACAATTAGATCCAGCATTTCTTATTACACTTTTGGCAAGGAATGCCTGATCATCTTCTTCCCCTGCTTGAAAACCCTGTTATCATTGACATTTTCTGTGTTTGTGACTCAATTCTTTATAAGGTAAGCTCTTTGGGATATGTTAAACATGAACCTTTGGTTCTTTTTCTTTTTTTTTTTTTGGTGAAAATTCAATATTTTTTTTTCTTTTATTTCAGCATATTATGGGGGTACAGATGTTTAGGTTATGTATGAAACAAATGGTTCTCGGACTTGGAGGGGGACAAGGGGAACCATTTGTTTCTTTACATGGCATCCTATCTAAATTCTTGTGATATATTTTCAATAAATTTGTTATTTCTGACTAGAGATACACTATCGATTTTTTTCTGATGAGAAAACAATTTAATAGTGCATGTTTAATAGTGTATGTATTTTAATTGAAATTTACATTAAGTAAAACAAACTTAATTTCTGTTTACGACTAAGAATGACTGTATATATGACATTTATTAATATATGAAAATATGGCTAATTTTTATTAAGATGTTTTCAGATTAAAATAACACAATGATTTTTCCCAACAAAAACAATAACTTGAAAATCTTGAAAACTTCTAGCTTTAATGCATCAATGTCTAATTCTATTCTCAAACCAAATAAAAGTCCCCAAGTATCTACAGAAGGATCACGAAGACAGCCTGAATAAAGAAAGCTGGCTGTCCTTCTAGCCAAACATTTAATGGGAAAGGGAAAGAGGCTAATCCCCGACAGTCTCTTCCCTGGTTGCTACAAGGGATAAGAGATAAAACAATATTGCAAGCTGGGTACTTTAAAGTGAGTCTGCCTACATTTACCTGCTAAATTGTCATAAATAAAATTAAAAGCTTTCCTTTTAAAAAATAATCTGAGTTGGCAAAAAAACCCAACCTGGATCCTGTTAAGTCTTTAGGAAATCAAAGCCTTCTCAGTTAGTTGTGACTATTAGGTTCTCAACTTCTCAGAAAAGTAAAGCAAAAGCGAGGTGGACTCAGTCCAGAAGTAGCTTTGCAGACCAAGAATTGATAGGTTGGCTTGAGCCAGAATAAGGGAGCCCATATTTTCATTCTCTGTTCAGTTCTTCTTCATCACAGGATAAGAGAACAGAGGAGTGAGAGGAGTATATTCTCTGCCTTTAGTTCCAGATAAAGTTGAAGATGGGCAGGAAAGCAAGGATTATCTTCTTTTTTTTTTCTGGGTTGAATAAGAATGTCATTATTTAGAGAGAACAGGTTTAATTTGCACTGATTGTCTGAAATGCTTAACACTTGAGAAAGCAACCAAAAGCAGGAATGGCGGTGGCTCCAAGAGTGAGCATAAGAAAAGATCTGGGGCTCATGCATACACGTTTATAACCATTAAAGCAAGGCTCTTTGGACTGTCACTCCGCTCCGCCAAGAAATACTCTTAAAGCATACTTCCCCACACCAAATGATTTTTTTTAGTCCAACAGAGAAATCTTGACTTTAAGTAACTTTAAACAAACCTGTTTTCTCCTCCTTATGGTAGAACTAGGGAGGCATAGTGAGCACCGTAAGTAGAGCACTGTAAAATGAGCTTCTGCAAGATCTTCATCCCACCTCTGGAGAGCGGTCAGCTTTTCGTTATAAAACACATGATTACCGTGGCCAATCCTTTGGCAATTAACATATTGGGCAAATACAATACTGTCTATTGTTTTACTGTCTCATACACACATACATTCATACATACATTCATTTTAGAGATAAAATTATAACTTTCACCTAGGCGTTAATATGTTATTCTCTAGGAAGCTAGGAAGAAAAAGTAATTGACAAATAATGTCTTTCTATAGAAATAGTTATGATTTATATTAACTCTCTTTTGCTGTGATTAAGGTTCTTACAGATGTACTCATTCCTGCAACAATGCAAGAAATGCCTGAAAGGTATGTTCAGTTAATGAAACATGGTCGTTTCTTAGTATGGGGCTTCACTTTATACATTATATTAAAAGGAAACATTAGGTAGTAATTTATTCACTTATCAAGAAGATTATTTTCTTTCTGTGTCCCTTTGTGTCAGCCAGAAGAGATCCTCAATCCTTATATTTGGACCCCAGTGAACAAAATGGGTGAAATGATTCTGAAATCCCTTCAATTTGAGGGCTGCCAAAGTGAAAAATAGATATTTAAGTGCTTCTGGCCTTCAAGATACTGAGAAAGTTCTTCAGTGGAAACTAGTTGGAAGATGATAAATGAGGATAATTGATGGAAAATAAGCACAATAAAAAAACTATAGGGAAAATGTTATATTTAATTATTAACTTTGGTCTTAATTACAAAATCAGAAAGTGGCATAAAGAAATTATTGAAGGAATAAAATCTCAAATAGTTTATTGAAATGGTACCTGAAGATTTTTCACAAAGACTTTTTTGATGCAAGAACAATAGAAACTTGAAAAAAAAAGGCCAAATTTTTCTTTGAAAACAAAGTCTAATGAAATAATGAAATTTATTTCAGTATTTTAGGGGCACAAATTCATATAGGGCTAAACATAGTTGGTGCTCAATAAGTAGGTGTTGATTGATAAAACAAATTTTATTTTTTATTTACCTTTTCCTCTAGATTATTTATTTATTCGTATAATAGTTGATATTAGCTTGGTCAATTGTTTCTTTTAATTTTCAATTGTAGTTTTTAAACATCTAATCTATATTCTGAATCAGATATACCTAACACTTCTGTGTCACAGCAAAATGTCTGTACTTAGTGGCAGGTATCCAGTCACATGACAATTAATAGT